GGCTGGCCTCTCCCAGCCCCTGGGCACGTTCCCGTCCCATGGCTGCCACGCAGAGCAGGGCCTCCTCGCACTCTGCTTTGGCACTGATGAGCTCCCGTCACCCTCTTCTTCCACAGTGCTTGGATCAGCTCCTGGCCTTCGCCCCGCCAAGCAACGGGAGCCTGGGAAAACCGGTCACGGTCGATACCCAGCATCCGCTCACCCTTTTGCTCAACGGCTCTGCGGGTGAAGGAGAGCTCTGCAAGTACGTGGCCCAGCCCCAGAGGACATCTGCATAGCTCTGGCCTCTATTTTGCCTTTTTTTTCCTTGAAGCCGCCTGGCTGTTTATTGCTGGCTCATCACTTCCTTTTTCCAGACTCTTTAGACCTAGAGTTCAGTCTTTCCCCTGCCGCTGTAACTGTGGCACACGCTGTAATTGTGCCAAAAGGATCTAGGCGCAAGCGGGAGCCGGAACGGTACGCGTCACGCAAGCGCCTGGTTTCTCTTGCAGCAAGGCTCTACTTCCAGAAGTGATGTAGTAGGTGATGTAGTAGGTGATGTAGTAGGCAGTGCCTGTGGGGTAAAGCGTCTGCGTTGGGCCAGGAGAGGGTCCTGCTTGGCAAAGGCAGAGCCGGGCAGCCTCTTGCTAAGTGACGCTGTTAAGCCAAGCTTTTAGCTGGCCTTTCCTACAAGCATGACAGCCCCCCAGATGCTGCTGTGGTACCTGGATGTAGCGGTGATGGCTCAGCAAGTTTCGTTTCCTTTATCCTTTACAGGATTCAGTATCATTTTGGAGAGTTTGGCAATTATTCCCTTGTGGTAAAGACCCTAAGTACAAGCACCAAAACTGTTTCTTGTGACCTAGCCATCAATGAAGGCCCCGTCAACAGCTACCTCCGTATGTAATGCTCTGTTTTCCCCTTTTCCTTCCGCAACTTGCATGTCTCCCAGCAGAACCAATTTCCTAAAAAGCCTGTGCTGAAGATGTATCATGGCCTTGCTCCTTTTTTTTCTCTTGGCATCTTATCTCCTAATGTTTTACACACCTGTCTTGAGGCCCTGACCAGGATCAGGCCTCTTCCCATGATATACTGTGTGACCCCAACCTTTCTGCAACAGGGATTAGCCCAGAAAAAACAGTGGGGATGTGACCGGACAGAGATACTTTCGTCGTTAGTTCCCGTTTCCCTGTGTGTTTATGTGTGTGCACAAAATCCTCTCGCTTTTTCCCTGTCTTGCTTCTCTCACCAAAAGGGAAACAATTCGTACAGGGTTTGGATTTTTGTTGGTTGTCGCGCTTTTCATTTTAAACCTCACTGGTTTACTTGTTCATCTCTTTTCCAGGGCTGTTTTCAAGCTCTCGTCTGTGTCTCATCCATTCTTTTCTTTTACATGAGGTTATTCTTCAGTCCTTCCAGTTTTCTAGCTGTAAAGAAAAAATCTCCATGCTTGCAAACCTGGTGTTTCACCATCTACCCCCTGATTCCTTCATGTTGAGGCCGTTTCTAAATCTCTATTTTTGAGAATATAGAGCCCATTGATTCTTTTCTCACCGTTGGCTTTATTTTGCTTTCTCTTATGCCGAGATGTGCAGTCACTGAGCTACACTTTGCAACTAGCCTGCTTTTGGTTTGGGTGGTTAGAGGGTTTGGTGTGTTCTGGTGGGTTTTTGCCTCTGGAACTCAGGCTGGGGATAGGTATTGCCTGGAGAAGGTGGTGTGATGATGGGGATTGGGCCTTCTGTTATGTTTGTGTTCGCCTGGCCAAGCCTGGGCTGCTGAAGGGTTCTGCGAGATCACTCATAGGGTGTGTGTTCTCCTCCCTTTCATGTAGCTCTTCTCTTTGCTTTCCTGGTTTACACGGGGATCCTTGCTGTCCTGATCGCCGGGCGCCTTCTTATGAAGTAAGTGAAGTATTGTAACACCTCCTCGCAGGTGAGGTGGGGCCGCCAGGTTAAAAACACACCTCAGCGTGTGGTCATGCTTCAGAGTCCCACGGTAGCCCAGCTGGAGGATCAGATCCTGTTAGCACCTTACCGCGTACGAGTTAAGCTGTGGTAGCTGTCCGTATGCTAATAAACCCAGATACGGTTTCCCAGGAGGGATATCTTGCAGCCTTGTTAGCTTGTGTGTAGGTTACTGCGGAGGAGCTGACACGCGACGTAAGCTCACACGCACCCCACCTCACCCTCCCGTGACTTGTTCCTTGGGTCTAGCCCTGCATCGGCCACGCAGGTCGGCAGGAGCTAAGCCTGTGTAGCATATGCAGCCTTCCACCCTGCGTACTGAACGACGGGAGCCATCCCTGCCTGTAAGCACCCTGAGGATAAAGCCCCGAACCTCAGCTTGCCGCACTCGAGTCACAAACCGGGCTTAACTGAGGTCCCAGGTACTGGCTGGATCTCGGGATTATGGATGTGAGCTGGGAAGACAGACATAGGGACTGTCCCAACTTTTGATTTATGCTGCTAAATGGCTGACATTAAGATGAAATTGGTTATAAAGCACTTCTTGTTTTGTTTTGTGTTTCAGAATTGACACAGTCAGAAACTGGGTTTACAAGAAACTGAACCCCCGAGAAACTGATCGTCTGATTAATTCCGTGAGTGACCACAGTATCTTTAATTTGCATTCCGTGGTGATTTTGTCCCTGAGGTACACACACTTCCTGGACATCTGGGGACTTGCTGATTCCTAATCATCTTCCCCTTGTGCATATTCCCATCTTGTATGGATGTCAGACAGGCAGTTTTGGGTCAACAGAGAGCGCTAGAGTGGGTTTCCACGTGAGTTTAGTGGATTCCCAGTAGAGCTCTTGCAAGTCTTGAACATAGAGTTTTGTGCCCTCCTTAGTTCCCTTGAAGCAAACGTGTTGGTGAAAATACTGTCCCCCTCCGACGCAGACAATGTAAGGGAAGGGAAGAAATGCCAGCTTCCATGTCTGCTTCCAGCAGAGTGGGAATTTTAGCAGGATCTACACTTAAGATTTCTGTCAGCCCTAGACCTGGCATTTCTGTGAGCTGTTTAGTGTTGGAACACAGATAGATCATCACAGTCTGGGCTTCACATGTAGGAGTTCCAAACCTGTCTGGAATCAAAGGACTTGGGAGCAGAGCTCTGGAGCCATGCTTGTAGTTGTTCATCCCCATAGCTGTGTGGCAGTGTGTCCGCTGCTTTATGCTGCCACTGGGGTGGTCAGAGTGCTTTAGGGAACTGGACTGGAAAGAAGACACTCCTGCAGTTAAAAGGATTCGTTTTCGGCTGGTCTAGCTCTCTAAACAGCCTCTTTGTGGGGTCAGACAAGTGCCGATGAGAAGGGATGGCTGCTGTTTGAGAGCCAGCAACTGGATCTGCTCGGCTCTGCGGTAAAGCCGCGCTCAAAGTGACGGCATCTGCGGCGGGTTTGGGCTGGACCCAACTCTCACGAGTCTCAAGCATGGGCTCTTTCCACGCCGTTGTTGTTTCCACCCTGGCCAAAAGTGGGATGGGGAGCATCTGCCAATATTATGGCGACACGGTGTAGCTGTGAAGGGGTTGGAAGCAGCAATTGGGAAACAAAGGGAAGATGGGGAGAAGGGGGACAAAGAGTGTGTGAAAGTTTGCAGTTTGCTGACCTCTGTTCCCTCGGCAGCTGCTGACTTGCCCTTCACGTGTCTGGTTTGTTCCCGAAGGAGCTTGGGTCCCCGAACGCCACAGACTCCTTTAGCAGTGATCCCACCCCGCGTCTGTGGAGCACGGGCTCGCGGCAGCGCCTGCGTTCCCTGGACACGTTCCGAGGGTGAGCATGAGACCTTGCTCAAAGGCGACTCTTCCGAGGGGAATGCGGGTTTTCCAACGGCAGTTGGACAGTGTATGGAAATAACCAGCAGATGGACCATTTGAGGGGGTCTGTTTTACGTGGAAGCTAATCAAGGTTTTAATTCTTGGATTTTCCAAACGCTTTCCAAACTTGATCTAGTCTGAGGAAGCGTTAAAGTTGTGGCAGAGGGTGGAAAAGAACAGCACATGTTCAGTGTGAGAACGCTATGCGAGGGAGCTTACCTGGGTTCACCGCCGCCCGTGTTCCTTGGAACGCTGCTCCCCGGTTGGAAAAGCTGGAAACCTCGTACACAATCGCGCTTTAAAAATAAGATCAACCAGCTCTCACTGTTGGACATGTTTTAACGGGGGTAAACGTTAACTGTGTGTTCCCATACATCCATTTCCTCGACACGTGATATTTTGTGTGTGGTTTTGTTGTTGTCTTTTTAGGCTCTCCCTTGTAATTATGGTGTTTGTTAACTACGGAGGAGGAAAATACTGGTTCTTCAAACACGAGAGCTGGAACGGTAAAGTCCGGTTGAGACAGCGAGTCGGGGTTTATCCGCGGCAGTGCCTAGAGACGGGTAGCGCCGCGCTGCTGCAGCGAGCTGTCGCTCAGCTGACGGCTGGGACGCGGGGCCGGTTTGCCTCCGCGGGGCACCCCGCCTGGTTCATGGGCGAAGGGGTGTACAGGCCCGCTCATCACGCGGCGACGGGTTGGCTTCTGATGATTTTGGGGCATCGGATAATTGCAAGCAGCCTGCAATTCCTCTGGAAACTCCAGAATAATGTTACAATTGAGGGCGGGTTTGGGGTCAGTAATGTGTCCTTTGTATTTCTCCGTAGGATTAACAGTGGCAGATCTGGTGTTTCCATGGTAAGTCTTCCTGAAGAATCGTTGTGTCAGGTGATTCTTTATGTTGAGGGTTGCACAGAGAACATTGTCTACACCCAGCCCCATGTGGAAACGTTTTGGAGAAGAGAATTTGTGTTCGTGGTGGCCCTCCAGGTAACAGCATCAGCTTTATGTTGAGCGTTGCACGGAGAACATTGTCTACACCCAGCCCCGTGTGGAAACATTTTGGAGAAGAGAATTTTTGTTCATGGTGGCCCTCCAGGTAACAGCATCATCCTTACGAGCCACAGAAGAGCCAAGTGCTTTTGGCTGCCCCACATCCTCCTTCCTCACCCCACACAGTGTCAGTGGGAGGCCCAGGGTTACCCTGCCTGTGGAAGTGCAGTATTCCCGAGGAGCTCAGTGCTGTGCTGCGGTGCTGAAGGTGGCCAGTCAGGCAAGATTCAAAGCTGGACTGCTGTGTATCCAGAGATAAATAGCCAAGGGAATTTTGGATTAAGCTAATCTCTCCATGACCAGAGAATGGTCTTACAGGAAAGCAGTGATCCCATCTTCTCTCAGATACACACCGGCTGTAGTTACTCTTGGAGATGGGAGCTGGGCTTGGACCAGTTCTGAACTGGAATCACAGGTTTGCAGCTGGTGTTTTACTGCTCTGCAGATGCTCATTTCAGCTGGGGAAATGGAATTTGTTGGTGGCAAACCCAGTGCTGCAAAAAGACCAGAATGCAATCGCTTCCCTGAACCTTATTGCCTCAGCTGACCGTGTGAAGAGGTGGGGAGGGCCCACGGTGCACGCTCGTCATCTGGGAATTCCTAGCAGCTGGAGGAAATAGAAGCTGCCTGGTTTCACTCCCCGCACGCGTTGCTGCTGGGCCGATGCAGGCTGCTGCGACAGCTGTCGCGTTTGCTGTCACACACCTGTGACAGGACCCCTGTCAGCTCCGCTTCCCCTCCGCTCTCTTCTCCAGGTTTGTCTTCATCATGGGGACGTCGATATCGTTGTCGCTGAGCTCCATGCTGAGGTGGGGGAGTTCCAAGCGGAAGGTGCTCGTGAAAATCCTCTGGAGGAGTTTTCTGCTGATCCTACTCGGAATCATCGTCGTGAATCCCAATTACTGCCTCGGGCCACGTGAGTGTAACGCGCTCCCTTCCTTGTATTTCTGCACGTGCTGTTCCTGCCTCCTCGGCGAGGCTGTTGGGAAGAGCCTCAGCCGTGCTGTAGGGACCGGTTGCGCAGAGGCGTTTCGACGGTATCCTGTTCAGTTCCGCACTGGATGCACAGTCCTCTCAGTGGTGACTTTCCTGGGGTCACAATTCACAGCAAGCGGGGTGCAGAGCGGAGGTGTCCCTTGCACCCGCAGGTGCCACGGGTCTCAGCTCTCCCTGGGCAATGGTCACTCTCCTGTTTACAGGAGAGCCTATGGCTGCTCCTCTTCCACATTCCTTGCATGTTTTCCAGTGTCCTGGGATAATCTGCGTATTCCCGGGGTGCTCCAGAGGCTGGGATTCACGTACCTGGTGGTTGCTGCTCTCGAACTCCTGTTTACAAGACCTGGGGCTGAGAGTGGGACTGTGGTGAGTTACGTGGGGGGTGACAAGGGATACCGGAGTAGAGTTTGGGAGCTTTTGCTCTTGTTTGGGCACAAAGAACACATCAGAAATGGTCAGAAAACATGTCATATCTTACAAGTACAGGCTGGGTGGAGAAT